CAAAGGCCAGCAGCTGAAGAAGCTAAGATCCAGGAAGAGATTTGAGGAGCGATTCGTTAAGGCTTGCCGAATGCGTTTCGCCAAAGAAGAGTTGGAAAGTTCGAGAAGCGATTCGTTACGGCTTGCCAAGAGCGTTTCGCCACAAAAGGGTTAAGAAAGAGTTTGAGCTGATAGGAGTTTGAGTAGGAAGAGTAAGATTCGAGATAAGACATTTGAAGAGCGTTGGGTCACTCACCTACGAGCAAGAGCAATGGCGCAACAAACTCAATTCGATGCCCTAGTGGCTGCCTTGCAGCAGACCATTATGGCGCAAGGAGAGACAGGAAACCGTCTCGCTGAAGCAGCGAGGTCAATTGCAGATGCCTCTGCAAGGATGCAGCCTGGAGCAGTTTCGACAAGTGGAACTAGTGGAACCACATTTGATACAGGTTCCAAAGTCAAGGGACCAGACGTTTTCGCCCCAGGAAGGTTAGATGAAGAAGTTTCGTCATGGCCCGACTGGGCTTTTATCTTCAAGAACTACATAGGACTTATGGATCCTAACTATCTTGCAGAGTTCAGCTGGGCAGAGTCCCACGACGGACCCATCAAAGAGGAAGTATAACAACATTTGAGAGCATCCACCTATGGCATGTATAGGCCATATGTCAAGTGGATTGTTGGTCCCCGACTTTTGTTGTTTTCCAGCAAGCTGAGACCGTGACGCTACACCAAGGCTCAAAGTGAGTTGCAAAAGAAACCTGACTTTGTTTTGGGTTGAGTTTTTATGGTAGCGGAGCCGTGAAGGTTCATCCTTTGGATACTGGAGCTCTTGAAGAGGCTGGACCCAGACCTCGTGTTGAGGGCAGGACCCGTACCCTCCTAGTGCTGCCTAGGTAGGTAGATTGCTGCCCCTGATTAGTTGTTCCCGGACTGCTATTGTAGAATAGCCCTCGTCCACGCTGTGCTGCCAGCGCGGTTGCGAGCTCTCGAGGCGGCCAGTTCTTGAGTGTGCCCTACACGGTGTGCCCTACACGCTCGCTAAGCGAAGGAGAGACTTGAAGGAGCCTTGAGCCGGCTGCGAAGATCGTAGCGTGATGTCTCAGCCTGGACAGAGCCCAACTGGAAGTCCAACGGCAGGTGGTGTAGCCCCTGCAGTCTTAGATACCCAACTTGTTCTGCAGACAGCTACGGGATCCAGTTTTACTTCTTCGTGGCGTGAGTCAAAGTTCATCAAGTCTCCTGAAATCTTCTCGGCAAAGAATCTAGAAAAAGAAATCTCAGGATGGCCCGACTGGTCTTTTCAGTTTAAGGCGTTCATGGTTGTGCAGGACTCCTCGTATCGTGATGACTTCGAAAAATGCGAGACTGCAGAGACATGGTTGGCTGTGTCAGACTACACTTCCCCAATGAAGAGCCGTAGTGGAAGATTGTACGCTATTCTGGCAACACACTTGAAAGGATGAAGCCTTAAGCTCCTGAAGTCTGAGGCTTCTGGGCGTGGCTTAGAGTCTGGTGTCGCCTACGCCTACACGATGAACTTCAGCCTGCATCGCGACTTAGATCCCTAGCCTTAGCTCAGGCGTTGATCAAATATCCTCCGTACAAAGATGGTACATCTCTTCTCGAATGGACTCTGACCTTTGAAAGGTTGATTGCTGAGTACGAGAGGGTTAGTAGCCAGAAGAACAGCGATGATCTCAAGATTTCTACGCTATTGGCTGGACTCCCCGAAGACGTTCGTCGATATCTCCAATTGCAAGTTTCCGAATCCACTACGTATGAGAAGTTGAGAGAGGCCATGCTTGCCTTTGAGCGTACTTCCTCAAGCTGGAGTACAGAGCGTGTGTTGAAAGCCATAGGAGCAGATGAGCCCACTCCTATGGATGTGGACCATGTAGAGTGGAAAGGCAAAGGCAAGGGAAAAGGAAAGGAGAAAGGAAAGAAGGGGGAGAAAGGAAAGGGAGGCTGGACTCCCAAAGGAAAAGGAAAAGGAAAAGGGAAGAAAGGTGATAAAGGAAAGGGAAAGAACGGCAAGGGCAAGGGTGGATCGTGGAATGGTCAAGGGCGTGGCAAAGGAAAAGGACAAGGTGGCGGTAAAGGTGGCCCACGTGAGTGCTGGAACTGTGGTAAGTTGGGTCATGTGGCTTCTGAATGCCGTCAGCCTCGTAGAGTTCAACAGGTACAAGATGGTGATCAGTCAAGCGTTGCTGCGTCCACTACCCGAACCTTGCCCTCAGCTCCTAGCAGTACTGCTGCCTCTGCCAAATCCCAGGTTCGCCGAATCTACGAGTTCGACCTGACTGAAGATGCGGATGACTGCTGGTACGAAGATGGTGAGTACGAGGTTCGCCGTCTTGTGAAGCTTAGTCGCATGAAGATGTTCCTCACAACGAGTCCCCTGCGCATGCTGTAGAGAGTGATGCAGTTCATGACTTTGATGTGTTCGCGCGTGACGAGTCTTTGCGTGATGATCACTCGAGCTTGCATGTGAACATGTGGGACGATCCTGATGGACATGTTAGTGAGGGAGCCTGTGCAGAAGATGATTGTAGCGAATGCAGTTTGGATGAGCTTCGTAGCACCAGCAGTTTGTGGTACGACATGGAGAGCATTGAAGAGGCAAGTGACTTTGAAAGTGATTGCAATTGTGACGAAGAACTCACTCCTCGGCTGTACTGCCGGGCGGTGATCGAAGAGGTCCCCAGCGGACCGGAGAGAGTGGAGGTCATCTTGAACACTGGAGCTGATTGTACAGTCCTTCCCCTTTCTTATCAAGCTGTTGGTCACAAAGACTCCTCTGCTAGCAAGAGTATTCTCCTAAGCTGTTCCTGCTCCAGTGGACTGGAAACCAAGCTTCGCCCTTCTGCATGTACCACGAATCATATTCATCACAGACAGGAACCCAGCCACGCTTCATGAGCTTACCCAAGCAAAGCAAGGGTTGTCGAACATTTCCAAGAAATCCATAAAGGAAATCACACTGTCTTCATCTGGGGTGTCGATTTCGAAGTTGCCAAACACTCTCGACTCTCCGCCTTCGATCTTATTCCCTTGAGAATTTCGCACCTGGAGGAAATTGTAGCACAAGGAGATGGAGAAGATGCTGATCAGCGGCTAGGTGAAACCTCCGCTGCTGATCAGCGGCTAGGCACTGCCTCCGCTGAGAGTAATCAGCGGCTAGGTGATGCCTCCGCTGAAGGAGGAACCCGAGCTGAAAGTTTCTTGGCGTCAGAAGCTGTCCGTATGGTTGTTGTGATTGATGAAGAGATGGCAGAGCATGCTGAATCTCCCGGGTGGAGCTTGAGTACATCCATGTTACCAGTTCATTTGGCATACAACATGTCTACGACTGTTGATCCTTCAACACGGTTCACTCCTGATGAGTGGCCCCATCGCTCTACGCTCATTTGGAAGAGAGGTCGAGAGTATGAAGTTTTTGAGTGTGGAGAATATTGGGAACCAAATCGCACTTTGGACCTCGATGCCCCGGCTAGCAAGCTTCTAACGATCCTCACGAAGAACCCCATTGAGCCTTCCCAGCTAGGAGAGGTAAGGCCTGATGATCGTGCGTGGGTTCCCGGAGTTAATCCTCTACGTGATCGTGGTGATGTTGGAGAAGAAGAAGGAGAGATGGTTGTTGAGAGACAAGGAGAGGGAGCAGAAGGTCCCACGCCAGGCCCCTATGCTGTGGAAGTTGAAGGTCCCGAGCAAGAGGTGATCATGGTCAATGATGTGAGATTGACTCAGGAGAGCGCGTTGAGAGAACTTCGTTTGGCGTGCCGTTTCCTGGGCATCTCCAAGAATGGGTCAAAGGCGACTGTGTGGAACAGGTTAAAGAGAAAAGTGGCTCTTGCAAAGTTGAAGGTGGCAGTGGAAGCTTCGGAGATTGTGAAAGCTGAGTGTGCTCGAGAACCTCTCGTACTTGATCCACGAGACTACGCACATCCCAAAGGCTCCCTGGTGTGAGGCCTGTATCGCCTCCCGTGCCAGAGAGGACAATTATGACGACGCAGAAGCTCACAGAGAGTTTCCTGTGGTGAGCATGGACTATATGTTTACTGCTACACAAGACAATCCTCTTGCTACTCATTTGATCTTGGTAGACTCCCAGACCGAGTCTGTGCAATCCACGGCCATTGATGGAAAAGGCAATAGAAGCTTGAAGTACTGTGTTGAAGATGTGGTTCGCCTGATGAATTCCCTCGGTTATCAGCGAATTGGCCTCAGGTATCACACCGAGCCAGCAATGAAGCAGATTGCTGGAGCTGTAGTGGCTGCTAGGTTGAAAATGGGTTTAGCCACGGAGGAAGAGCCGATTCCACCAGGGGATGCGACACATCGTGCAAATCGCAGTGAAAGGTATATTCACACAGTACGTACCCTTGACAATTGCTTGCTGCAGACAATCCTCCAACACACGGGACACAAGATTGAGAGTGAAGACCCACTCTTCGCTTGGGCCTACCGGCATGCGGCTTTTCTTGTATCTCGGTTCTCAGTTCTGAAGGATGGTTGCACAGCGTTCGAGTTGATCCATGGAGCACGTTCCCACGTGAAACTCCCGGCTCAAGACACTCATCAACGAACACTCCCTAAACAGGTGGACGCAATCCGCTCCGTAGCCCGAGAGGAGCTGGCCACCTCCCAAGTGTAGCCGCGTAGCCATTGGGGCTGCCATGGTTTTAGCTTGCGGAACCTTTCGGACTTCCGCGCCTTTAGCACAGCCTTTTTATGCGCAGTTCGTAGAAGCCCTACGCGTGGCCGACTAGCTTGTCGAGACTTCGCTGCTCCATGTCTTCCCGAGTTTCCCATTTCGAGGAACACGCAGATCACAGCTGCACTCCAAGAAGTTCTGTAGAACACCTACCGTCAGCAGTCACTAACAAAGCTGGCACAGTTCAGCGCTCCATTTCTATAGTGGCAGTGGGCCAATTGGCTGATGGCCTAACAAACGCCGGACAGCCGATGTCATGAAGCATTCAGTGCTATGCAAGGGAGGCTTACACCTACCCTCTACATTCTTTTTTTGTGAAATGCACTGAGTGATGATGCGTAGCTACAAGTCAAAGCTATTTGCCTTCGGAGCCGATGTGTATGCGCAGTACCTTCCGAAGTCAAAGCTTTGTGGTGAGTGCTGGAAGCCTTGCATATGGCTAGGCCGAACAACCCTAGGCGACTTGAACATCGTGGGCGATGGAGAAGGAATCGATCATGCACGAAGCGTCCGACTTGCACCTGGTAAGTTCTCGACAGAAGCATTGAAGACCATGAAAGGAGTTCCACGGGATCCTCTTCTTGATGTTCTTCCTTCTCGTAAGAGGAAAGCTTTGACTGGTTCTAGACTTCCCGTTCTCCCTGAGAATGTTGAAGCACCTCCTTCACCTGCTGATGAAGCTGCTTCAGATCCACCAAGCCCAGCAGCAATTGGCCCAACCCCGAATGAAGGACCATCAGTTGAAGGGGGAGTAGGAAGCGACACCATGAGCGTAAGTTTGCCTGGAGAAAGCATGGATGGTAGGTTTCATTCTGAAGAACTCCTCATGGATGTTGAGGGTCACCCCGCAAGCGGCCATGTGAGTGCGATTTTCCTAGAGGAAGAAATGCCAACGGGTCATGACGACAACGAAGGCTACATGGAAGCTGATGAAGATCCTTTGGCCCCAGGTTTTGACATTGATTGGGCCGTTGGTGAAGTTGATGAAGAGTACGTGGCTCCAGACCCCCAGGTTGACTTGCCGTTCGTGAGGAGTTGGGCGAATCGTAAATATGAGGAAGGTCCACCTGTTCTCCATCCAGGTCAGCTAAGGAAGCTGGACGGGAGTTCGAAGGCATGACTAACTTGCAGTCCAAGTATGTGCGAGACTGGCGGTTTCGTCCAAGTGAGGATGGCAATTCTTTGGAGTTGGGTTAGGAGATCACGTCTTGTGGCCAAAGAATTCAGGTTCATCGACCCTGTCATGGAACATTTGGCTTGCCTCCAAAAGGCTTTCGCTGGGCTAGTGTGTTCGAGCTCACGACTTTGCTTGTATACTGGTGACATCAAAGATGCCTACTTGACTGTTCCTCAGAAAAGGCCTACATTCACTCGTCATGAAGGCTTGATCTTTGAGCTCAAGTTCAACTTACCAGGCCAACGAGCTGGAGCCAGATACTTCTACGACAAGCTGGCCGGGATTCTCAAGTGTGACAACTTGGAGAGTTACGAGGCTGCTCCGGCTTTGTTCATCGAACCCAAGTGTATTGGAGTTAGCACGCATGTGGATGACTTTGAAGTGATTGCTGAAGCCTCTCGTGTTGATCGCTTGACAAAGAAGCTGGCAGAGAGTGGCTTGAAGTTTTCGCTAGAAGGTCCTTGCGCAGTTGAAGAGGGTGAGTGTCATTTCCTCAAAAGGAAGTTCGTTGGCACAGGAGATGGAATTGTGGTGAGCCAAGACTCGAAGCACATAGACAAGCTTGTTGAACTTCTTGGCCTACGGAAGGCCACCGCGAAGGCCACTCCGTGTCCGATGAACGTGAACCACAACAAGGTTGACAGCAGTCCTCTAGATTCTGAACGTCATGCAGTGTATAGGACGTGCATAGGCATTCTTCTGTACTTGGGTCAAGACCGTCCGGAGAACTTGTGCACGATCAAACAGCTGAGTGGTTGTTGCACATGTCCGACTGAGTCCGATTGGTCACTGCTGAAACACCTTGTGAAGTTTCTGAATGCGCTGCTTCGAATAGAAAGGCAGAAGAGTGTAACTCTGAGTTCATGCGAAATCCGAGCTACATGGTTCATTGGCAGCTGTACAGGAAGCAGTTTTCTTGAAGAGAGTGCTAGAGCGCCTTTGTGGATGTGAAGTTCACTTGCAGGATCGTGTAGACTCCTCATCGTGTAGAGCTGTGATTTCGAGACAAGGGCTATCGCGTCTTCGACATGTGGAGATAGCCTACTTGTGGAAGCCTACTTGTGGATCCAGGAAAAGCTTAAGGCTGGTGAGTTCGTGACAGGAGCCATCAGCACCAAATTCTGTCCTCCAGATCTTTTGACTAAGCCGACGAGTGGATCCAGAACAAAGCTACTTTGCTACGTGTTAGGTGTGGTCCAGGATGGTGAGCCAGTAGGTCAGATTGAATTTGAAGAAGAATTGGTACGTCGTGAGTTGAAACGAGTCGTGAAGGTTGAGAGCAAGACGACCTTGCAGGCGATTCGTCAAGTGATTTTGAGCGCATGTGTTTTTATGGAAGCCACACAGACAGCAGAAGGTCACATCCTTACAGCAGTGCATGTAGGAAGTCAGGGCGTGACATGTTTAGATTCCATCAAGCACATGGCGTTGATGAGCATGGACGAAGCTTCGGTCAGCGTGGTGGCAATCCTGGTCTTCTTGCTCTTGGTAACGGCCCTAGCAGTTTGCCTCTCGGATCTGAAGTTTCTTCGTCCGCCAACTCAAAAGCACCTCCGACTCCCTTTACGGCCTTTGCTCAGTGCCGTGATCTGGATTCTGATGATGGTTGTTCCAGTGAAAGCCTCAGAGTCCGGCGACCAAAGCGAAAACGACATGTTTCCGCCAGAAGCAGAGTCTCTTCAGAGTCGAAGAAAATCTTGGCGAAATGGATTCGGAAGTACAACAGTGATCAACGAGATGGTCATGATGTTGCCACAACCAATAGAAGCTACAAGCAGTTGGT